GGGAGAGAGAGGGGGTCACGAGTCGCTGGTTTTGGGTGTGGCTTGTGACGGTGTTTCCCGGCGAGGTTCGATGGCGGGACCCACTGGGTTTTGATGTGCGAGGCGGTCTGAGTCGATGCCCGGTTGTAGTTATGGACAACTCATGGTGGATACGGAGGGGCAAAGTTGGCTTGGTCGCGACTTCTAGGTGGCGCTGGTGGCGATTTCGGAGAAGAGAGAGAAGAACGAAGGGAGAAAATGAAAAGGAAAAATGAAAAACGGATTTAATCCGTTTTCAGATTTTCAGAAAAGGACAAAAACGTTTTTATTTTCCGTTTTTAAAAAATTTTGCACCAAACGCGTTTTCTATACGTGTTTTCATTTTTTATCCTCAAAAAATGTAAAAAACGGAAACAAAAACAAAAACAAACAGGGCCTTAATTTCTTTCTTTCCACTTTTCTACGCTGCGCATAAATTTCTTTAGACATTTGGGAAGTATACTTTTGAAGACAACACTTAAACCCTTCCGGCCAAATTTGTACAACTTTCCTTTCTTTACTTTTTCTTTTTTTTTTTTTAATTTGCTGATGATGAACTTGGGTTGTGTAGGTCCCATTCTGTTTAACAAGATTGAGTACAATGGCAGCTTACCAACATTAACACTGAATCCAAACTCATGGACAAAGGTATGCATAATTCATTATCTACTCTTTTTTTTTTTAATATTATAATTCCTCTTTTTCTCATACTATTTTCTAACTATGTTTTGTGAGAAATTAATGCAACGATATCTTTTATAGGCCGCCAGTATAATATTCATAGATGCACCTGCTGGCTCTGGATTTTCATATTCTAGGAGTTTGGAAGGCTATCAGACTGGTGAACTTCTTCTGGCCCATCAAATTTTTAATTTTCTGAAAAAGGTGAACCAGCGTTGCAATATGCATTGATAAAAATACAAAATAAGCATTAGTTGAATTACTCGGTATTGCAGTAAATGTTAAGTAATTAAAGCACTAAACAATTCTTTTTATGTGCTAGCTTAAAAGCATTTTATTTATTTATTTATTTGCACATGGCAAACTTAGCTTTTTTGCCTTATATATGTTTTTGTTTGGATTTGGCAGTGGTTACTTTCTCACCCCAAGTTCATCTCCAATCCACTCTATTTAGGCGGTCAATCATATGGTGGTATCATAATCCCTCTAGTTGCCCAAGAAGTAGCAAAGAGTACGAACATATAAAACCTGAAATAATGAATTTATTATCTTTAATTTAGGGCTATAAGTAGGAAGCAAAATGACATAGCTTGTTATGATGCTGCAGGTATTGAAGCCGGCCACACACCAAAATTTAACTTCCGGGTATGTTTCTATCTATAATGTCAATTGCTGGGATTGGAATTTTTATTATTTAGATCACGATAAGACCTTTATCTAGGGCTATTTGCTCGGGAACCCGCTAACGGATTTAAATATCGATTGGAATTCGAACGTTTCATTTGCTCACCGTATGGGACTTATACCGGATGAGCTCTATGAGGTTAGATTACTGTTTTTATTTATTTATTTTTTTTTATTTTTACAACAACAACAAGAAGCCTTAATCCCATCTTAGTTGGGGTCGGCTATATGAATTTCACTTTTTCACGTAGTTTTGTTCGAAATTAGACTTTTCTGAATGCCTAGATCTAGAATGTAATTCCTAACAACTTCAGTCCACGTACTCTCCCCCTCCCTCTCCTAGTATTAGGTATAAGAATATCCTCCCAAGCACGAACTGGTACTTCTAACAGTTTACGTTGGACATGCCCGTACCACCTCAAGCGGCTTTCGCATACCTTATCTTCTATTGGTGATACACCTACTTTACTACGAATAACCTCATTCTTTATGCGATCCATTCTTGTATGGCCACTCATCCATCTTAACATACGCATTTCTGTCACACTCATCTTACATATATGTTGTCTCTTAATAACCCAAATTTTAAATTTTCCTCTTAAACTAATGCACTTGTTGCAATTTATTGCCCAAATTTGATTGAGTTTATTCTCTCTCGTTCCACTTTTTAAAAACATGTTTTCGCCCTCCGTCAAATTCCACCTAAACTATGGTTCTTGTCTAATTGTGCTTAACCTCAAAGTATAACATCCTCACCTCCTTGATCTATGTAAAAGTGTTGAAAATAATATCTCGTCTCTCTTTGAATCAAAATCTTAGAGATGGACACAAGTTAAGTTTTTGAGTTGGTGGTTGATTTCTTCTCCCAAAATGATTTTCCATTACTAGTGCATATTTGAGCGCAAATTTGTTTGATGTCTTAGAAAAATATTTAATGAGCAGCAAATGGGAGCCTATTACAAGAATCAAGCTTATAAATATTTTCGTGGAGACAATTAGAAAGTTCTTGCTCAAATATGCCTCAACGAATTAGGGATATAATTTATTAGGCTGGAAGAAACTTCAACCTCAACCATTTTCCAAAAATTTAGTCACAGATAGACAAAAAGGATAGATGGATAAGAGGGGCATTACTGAGACAAGTTCCATAGATTAGGGGATCTAATATTTTGATGGTATTGGATGAAAATTGTAATCTAATAATTTTAGCAAGCGCATGGAGAAGAAAATAGTATATTTTTTATTCCAAGGGAAAATGCAATTTGTGCATAATTTTTTTTAAAAAAAAAATCGTGCATAATTTAGGGGTAAATTTTTTAAATTCATCCAAAATTTGAAGTAGCTGCTTGATTGATATCGCAGGCGGTGAAGATTACCTGCAAAGAACAATACCGAGGAAACTACGACAAGAATTCGTCATGCGCCAACAATCTTAATGCTATCTTACACGTAAGAACATCTTTTCCTCATTTTCTTAATGCTGAAAGTTGACTTTTTGTTTTTTTTTTTTTTTAATTCGTTGCTCACATGATTTACGTAGATGTTTTTTTTTTTTTTTTTTTTAAGGTTTATCTAGATGCTTTTTTTCTTCCTTTTCTTTTTTCCGTATTAGTGCACCGAAAAGTTAAACGACCAACATATCTTGGAGCCTAAGTGTACAACCTATACTGCAAATGGGAAGACGGAATTTATCAACAGAAAATCACTTCTAGAAAAGCCATCACCTGATTTTCCCGAGTTCGAGTGTAGGGTAAATCCGATATTCTTTAGCTCTCTTTAATCCAATTTTTTACATTAAAAAATATTTCTAGAGATGTTTTTGTAGCTGATCATTGGTCAATTCCTTTTGAAGAGCTATAATAGCCTGCTAATCCATTCTTGGGCAAATAACGAAGCCGTTCAAAGGGCACTTCATATTCAGAAAGTAAGGGAAATATCTTGGCTATTAACAAAGAGCAATCTAAGGAAGAGACAGATAAAAATATTATTATGCTTTAACTTTGCCAAAATGATGAACTAGGGAACGATAGAGACATGGATAAGATGCCCTGATAACGTACCTCACAAGTTTCAAGCCACGAGTGTTATTCTCTATCATCAGCATCTCCACTCACGAGGTTATAAGGCTCTGATATACAGGTTTGGCTACACTTCTCATGAAAAATATGTTTTTTTTTTTTTTTTTTTCCTAATGTATTATGAACTTCTCAATATTTGTTAACTTAGACTCCAAATTTTTAATTTTGACAATTGAGAATCAAATTTGAAAATCCGTTCCTATTCTTGTCCAAATTTCCTATAGCGTGCTCCATGCATTTTATACAAATGCAATTGAAACTTTTTGTTAGTTAGTAAGATAAACCTTAAACTTATTCAATTTGGTATTTCGAACCCTAATTGTTATATATATTATTGAATGCACGTAATCAATTGGACTGCGTTGACGAGGATTTTCAAATTTAGAGTCTTGATTGTCAAACTTAAAAGTCCAAGATACAATTTGCAACTGGCGTAAAGTTCAAGATTTATTGATGCACATTTCCCAAAAAATAAAGCAAGGAGATAGAAACTTGGTTTCAACATTTCCGAAGATAATGATTAAAATCTCCTAGTTGATAGTTTTCTATTATTGAGATCTTAAAAGAAATGTGATTTTATTTTTGTAGTGGAGATCATGACATGTTGGTCCCTTACATTGGAACCCAAACATGGATCAAGTCTCTGAACATTCCCATTGTTAGTACATGGAGGCCATGGCTGGTTAACGACCAAATTGCAGGGTAGGCTAGCAGTTGATTTCTTCAACCAATTCACATAATTGGAGTTACATTTTGCATCAGTATATGTATTACATAATTCTCAATTCGATTTTTGTTTGTATGCAGATATGTGACTGAATATTCAGGAGGCCTTACTTTCGCCACTGTCAAGGCAAGAATTGCTTTTTCCCTACTCTAAAAATTGGTTTTAATAAGCTAAGATATATATATATATAGGTAAAGTCTCCCGGATTGGAGCAGTATATGTATATTTCCTTTAAAAATATGTATATTTCTTCTTAAAAATATGTACATTTCTTCTTAAAACATGTATAATGTAGGGAGACACCCATAATTTGTCTAAACACCTATATACATGTTTTAAGATGAAATATATATGTTTTTAAGAGAAAATATACATATTTTTAAATGAAATATACAAGTACCGTTCTAATCCAGTACTGAATTGGAGACAATTTATATATATATATATGAAACTTCACAAAAGATCAGGAGATCAGTGAGTTAGAAAAATTAAAAATTACAACAAAATACATGTATAAATGTGTGTGCATCGAGTTATATTTTCCTAAAAGTTTTGTGCCGTGTTGTAGGGTGGTGGACATACAGCCCCGGAGTACCGGCCTAAGGAGTGCTTTTCCATGTTCAAAAGATGGATCTCGAACCACTTTGAGTAACAGCACCTATTGTACTGAAACAATGTATAAGGAATTGTTAGAGAATTTGAGTGTAGAGAGTGAAAAGAATGCAGAAATAAGAGAGGGTTTGAAGAGTATATGAATATTTTCTTTTAAGGTTTTATTTGCCCTTACTTCTCAAAGTTTGCTAATGAGTTTTAATGACAAATTACCCTCTAAGATACAACAAACCCTTGAACACGATATCTAGCAATAATGTTGAGTTCCAGAACATGAATTAATTGTGTAAGTTTTCTAGAGAATTAATAAAGACAGAGGTATCATTTCATGAATGAATGTATCCTCTTTAAACATTACAAACCATTCACATAAAGGTAACTTTTCAATGTAAATGTATCTTTTCATGGATTAATACACCTATTATAATAGTTATATCTATTGCTAATTGGTGTTCAGATATGTATGAAAACATATCACCAATGGATGTAATGGTTCGAAACGTTTTAGATCACATAAACTCATGAAAACAATGTTTTCTGTAGAATTTTCGCTGCAGCGAGTGTTTTTCCGTTGCAGCCACAAACGGACCCGAGGCCTGCAAACATTTCGGCTGCAGCCGGTTTGGCTGAACCAAAGCAGTTTGTCCGCTGCGTGTTTTGAAGTCCCTTTAGCATGAGTTTTTCATGTTTGAACACTCAAACAACTTGTGATCTTGATCAACACATATTACAATCTCTCTAACAGTCCCCCACTAGATTGTAATATTTCTCCAGAATTATGAATGATATACACACACATACTTGAAGGTATCTTTCGATTTTAACCTCCAATTAGTGACTATACTTCAAAGTATTCACAAGACAACAGTGTACTTTGTATTAAACTTTGTCTCTTGACCAAATACTAGAAATATATGACATATGTGTTATCTCAGACTTAAAATATGTTCCAATCGTTTAGTACTATTTCGACCTTGTGCTCTATCTTGGATTCATGAACATTTACAAGTGTTAGGAAGGGCATCATTCCTTATGTTCACTTTGGTGAAGTTTCGAATTATTTCTCTACCTATTATGAGATTCGAACTCCATTAAGAGTATAAACTCAGCCTCAACCACGTAGCTATTTTACACCGACATCTTGGAAGGGACTGATTAAATTTTGGTGCTAACCCGGTTACATAACAATGACTTGTTCTTACCTATTTAACTATGGAATAGCGGTACAACTACTACATAGTTGGGTTACCATCCTCAGTGACTCTTTCAAAGAAAGGTTTTAGTCCCATTCCACTAGATGTTTCTTTGACTAAGTCTCTTGAAAGACCTTTCATCAAAGGATCCGCTAGGTTCTTGTTTGTTCTAGCATAAACAATATTCATAACACCATCGGTTATCAATTGTTTCACATATTCATGTCTCAAGCTAATATGTCTAGAATTCTCATTATAAACATTGTTATAAGCTCTAGACAAAGTAGCTTCACTATCGCAGTACAAAGAAATAGATGGCATCGATTGTGGCCACAACTCAATATCAAACAACAGATTTCTCAGCAATTCTGCTTATTTGCCTGTAGTGACAAGTGCTATAAACTCACTCTCCATCATAGAATGAGTTATGTATGTTTGTTTCTTAGAAGCCCAAGAGACGGCAACTCCCGTAATTGTAAAAATCTAACCGGATGTGGATTTGTTATCACTTGCACTTGTTATCTAACTTGCATGCAAGTACCCTTCAAGTACTGCCAGATAGTCATTATATAACAAACTTAAATTAATGGTTCTTTTAAGATAACCAAGTAATCTACCAATTGTATTATAATGTTCAATACCCGGGTTACTCGTGAACCTAGACATTTTGTAAACCACAAATGCTATTTCAGGTCTTGTACAATGCATGGCATACACTAAGCTACCAATCATACTAGCATATTTAAGATATGTCACCGCTCGGCCTGCAGTCTCTAGTAATTTAATACTAGAATCATGTGGGGTATTCACTTCTTTAAACTTCAAATGATTGAATTTAAGAAGCACATTCTCAATATAATGAGATTAACACAACGAGTAATTCTCACTATGCTTCCTCACGTTTACACCTAAGATAATATCTATCTCACCCATATCTTTCATCTTAAATTGTGAAGTTAGATATTTCTTGGTATCATTTACTCCTTGTATGTTTGTTCCAAAGATAAGCAAGTCATCAACATATAAACATATAATCACACTAAAATTATTTGTAAATTTACAGTATATGCATTTATCCGCATTATTATGCTTAAAACTATGAGATAAAATGACATTATCAAATTTCTCATGCCATAATTTTGGTGATTGGTTTAAACCATAAAGCGACTTAACTAACTTGCAAACCTTCGTCTCATTTCCAGGCAATACGAACCCTTCGGGTTGTTCCATATTTGTTTCCTCATCAAGATCACCATTTAGAAAGGCCATCTTAATATCCATTTGATGCACATGCAAATTGTACATTGATGCAATTGCTAATAGCACTCTTATGGATGTCAATCTAGTTACCGGAGCATATGTATCGAAATAGTCTATACCACGCTTTTGTTTAAAGCCCTTGGCTACCAATCTAACCTTGAATGTTTGTATAGACCCATCGGTATTGTATCTTCTAAATGCCCATTTGTTGCTTATTGATTTTGATCCCAGAGGGAGATCAACGAAGTTCCAAGTTTGATTCGACATAATTGAATCCATTTCATCATTCACGGCCTCTCTCCAAAAGAAGGCATCCCTTGATGACATAGCTTTACTAAATGTCTTTGAATCTTCTTCTACATTAAGCTACAACGGTATTTTATTAAATACACAATTTCTATCTCCTTCAACTAAAAAAGTTAAAGCGTGAGATGAAATAAAATCCGGTGCTAACTCATTTTCTTTTCTTCCACGTTGACTTTTCCTCGATTTGAAAGTTGTCATAGACTCTTTCCTTCTATTAGTAGAGGTACCGGGAGTATCAACACATGGTTTATCAACATTAGATTCTAATTCAGTGAAAGAATCAAGGTTAAACTTATTCTCAATAAATTTAACATCTCTTGATTCCACAATCATATTAGAATCTAGATTCAATAATCTATATGCCTTGAAATTTTCAGCACATCCTTCGAAAACACTTTTAATTTCTCTACCACCTAGCTTTGATGATTTATGGTCAATCACTATATAAAAGGCTAGACAGCCCCACACCCTTAAATACATCAAGTTTGGTTTCCTTCCTTTACATACTTCATATGGAGATACATATCTTTTCAAGGATGTAATTCTATTATGAACATGACATGCATTAAGTAAAGCTTCCCCCTACAAATTATTATGCAATTTAGCATTAAGAAGCAAAGAGTTAATCATATCGGTAAAAATCCTATTCTTTCTTTTAGCTAATCCATTTTGTTGAGAAGTGAAAGAGGCTGACCTTTGGTGAATAATACCATGCTCTTTACAGAAGGCTTCAAATTCATTTGAGAGATATTCACCACCTCTATCAGCTCGAACCATTTTGATCTTCTTATCTTTTTGGTTCTCAACTTCAGCCTTATAAATTTTAAATTTATCAAAGACTCATCTTTTGTTTTAAGTAAGTACACATAAGTGTATCTAGGACAATCATCAATGAAAGTGATAAAGTATCTCTTTCCTCCTCTTGTCAAAATTCCATTATACTCACAAATATCTGTATGAATCGAATCTAATATTTGAGTATTTCATTTTGCTCTAGGAAAGGGTTTCTTAGTCATTTTTGCTTGTATTTAAATTTCACACTTATCATTTTTAATATCTTTGCAATTAATCAAACCATGTTTAGAACTATATTTCAAAGATCTAAAATTTAAGTGTGCTAATGTACTATTTTAAGGGGTAACTGTAATCTTTTCCCATTTTGAAAATTAGAGTACTTTTTTTAACATCTAACAATAAACGACTATCATGACCACACAAAAAAAGCCCAATGATGATGATGATGATGATAATAATAATAATAATCAAATCAAGGTCTCATTTTTCGCTTACTGCTTAGTATGACAGATCATAAACATTTACAATATTTACCGTAATACGACAGATCATAAACATTTACAATATTTACCTATTTGGTGGGATCACGGTGAATAAAATAAAAATAAAAAATTCAAAACAACATGCGACAGATTGATTTGTTGGTATGCTTAATTTTATTTTATTTTCTCTTCACCACTTTCATGATCATCTTCTAACAAAAAGACAAACAGAATAGATAAACACTCACAGTAATCTCTCACGAATTAATCAAGAATTATTGTTGAATGAAAAGATTAAGGAGACATAAATTTATAATGGTTTAGCAAGAATTCTTTGCCTACGTCCACTTATGGATGCACTAATATTTTATTGATTACAATCCTTCTGGAGTAGTAGTATAGTGTGTAAAAAACTTAATGAATTCTCATGGCTCTATTTATAGGCCTTGTACATATGAGAGACCTCCTCTACATTTTCTTAGGAGATCATCTCTTTTCTCTAAATTATGGGATTTGGCAGTTGTGTTTACATGATTTCAGCTTCCAGATCAGGCTAACCACCCTTACCAGTTACCTGATCTTCTGACTTGAACCCTGGCAGTTGGTACAATGTATCTTCCCTCGAGTTGACAGGATTTGGTTTGGATTGGACCAGGCTGCTCTCTCGACGTCGTGACCCTCATAACTCAGGTGCAGTCCTCGATGCGTATCCTCCTGCATGAATCCTCACCGTCTTGAAGGCATTCTAGGTATGACCTTTTCCTCAACATCAGCGACCGACTCTCAACTGGGATACCTCGACGCTTGTCAATCAAAGGAACGATCGATTCCTCGACCGTGGTTTAACAATTACCCCTAGACTGGAATACCGCGTTCGGATGTTTCAGGCTATGCAGTGTCGAGAGTATCACGTGGCAACCTCTTCCTTACAGATAGTGGTAGCTGCTTATCGGTACAGTGCCATCATTGCAGTGAGTTTCTCAGGCAGTGGAGCAGTCTTGACGATCGTGTCAACAGTCACGTCTCTCATACCCAGGTGCCACATGGCAGTCGGGGGATAAGTTGCAGCCGTTCGATCAAATTCACCTCCCCTGCTCTCTTCCCGACCGTTAGATCGCCTATCTTTGGATTCACCGTTAGATGCAGTCGAATCAGATTCAACGGTCGAGATCTGAAATCCTTTGGATTTCCCTGAAACATTTGGGCTCCCACTCTGAGTATATATAACCTTCGGAGTACTTTTATGGCTGTTCATTTACAGGCGGCCGTTACTCTG